GAGGTATAAGAGCTGTAAGAGCCCCCAATGAAATTATTTATTTAAAAAAAAGTTGCACAATCTTTACCACAATCCATTTTAGAACATTTTCTTCTTTCTTGTACTCATTTTTATTCATGTATTTCCCCCGAAATTTTGGCAAAAATATACACAACAAAATATCCTCCAATTCAACAACTTCTATACGCACAATTCCTTGCCATTGAGTGTACTTTTCCTGTTGTGCAACTATTACTGAGCTTCCGCTCCAAATGGCTCCATCGCCATTCATGAACTCAATGTCCCATAAGCAAAACCTTTTCTTTCTCACTCATGGTCACCATAGGTCAAATTTGGTTTCATTTTTAGTTGTTTTCTTGATATAATATTCATGTATCATACACTTCCATTGTTAAATAGCTTTTAAAAAGAGTTATATATGCATGATCACTATTCGTTCTAAAGCTCCATCCCCTCTCCTGCCTTGATTGTTTGCTCCCCAATTCCCTTCACCGTCTCCCACAACCCCCCCCCCCCCCCCCCCCCCGCAATTCCCCACAAACCACTGCATCAGTTACTGTCTCTGCATCCACTCTTTCTGTGCTTCTTAAATGGGGACACCTAACAGGAACAATAAAAAACAAAATGAAACAAAGAAGAAAACTATAACAAGATAAAAATAAAGAGCAAGAAAGACAAGACCACCAACAATATTTTTAAAAAACAAAGAAGAAATTTTTGTGGTAGAACAATTGAGAGATGCTTGAACCTAGAGCAAATTCAGGTTGGGTCAAGAGAGAGGGCAACTGACCAAGTATCATCATACCATGGTTCTTTCCACCATAATCAAGTTTACATTAATCTCTATCTGATAGTAAAGTTGTTCAAATCCCGCACCTGTGGCTAGCGGGGGATCTGCCACAGGCTCAATCTGACTGAATATCCTGCAGATGAATTTGGGGTTCCCAACATCCCCCACAGTCGTGTCCACATTGGGTGTTCACAATGTGAGCTCTGAAACTTCCCTTCCTCATATTTGGATTTCGTTATTGTCATCTTTGGATCACACAGGCTAGTGTTCTTCCGTGTGGACTTAGTTGATGCCTCACTTAGATGACTGCTTGTTTGAAGACAAGCCTTTAAAACCCCAGGCATCATTCCAATTGATATCTGGCACCATCTGCTTTCTTCACCACACTGTGCTGCAGCACCCTTGTCTTTGTGAAAGTAACTATCAAGCAGGACTTAATCCAAGAGCTGGTTGTTGTTGGATTAGGGCTAGAACGAGACGTGGGAGCCAAGAATCCATCTGCTTCTCCCTGGGTTGTAAATAACTCTGGTTTACATTGGCAGTCATAGTATGACAAAAACAACAAAACAAAAAACCCCAAAGAAACCAGAAAGAAAAACATTATTTTCGTAGGAGTTTATTCGAGCGAGCCAAGATTTTGTGTCTGTTGGACACGCCCACAGAAGCAGCAGAGCAGGGTCTCTTTACTTTTACGTAAGCCAAAAGGAATCTGTATGAATCGTTTCAGAAGATTTTGCTCATCACATCTTTGATGTGAAGCCCATGTGAAAGTGTTCACTACAGATTAAGAAGCAAGCACAAGTTAAGCCTGTGCTAGCAGTGCTTATTGAGTAATCCATCCCTGCTCCTGTCGGGCCAGTCTGGAGTTCTCTAGAGCAGCTTGGTAGGAACAGAAGCACGTCCAAGGGCCACCGCTGTAACAAATCACTGAGGCTCTTTCTATGTTCATAGGTGAAAATGGCAGAAAAGGGCCCTCCCTTGACCGCTCCGTGGGTGATCATGAGACCCGGCTGTGATCAGTTGGGGAGGTGCTTATATAAACTGAAGAGGGAAGCTAGCGTGGCCCACAACCAGTGAGAGGCCCCCTTTATCTTAATCCACCCTCTACCCCTGACTCTAGGTTCAGATTCCAGTGTTTTCCCCTTAGTCCCTACTGAGGAGCTCAGTGGGTCTTGGAATTGGAGAGAAAAGGAAAAAGCAGGGCCTGCCCATGGTCTGGAGTCTCCCAGTCGCAGCTGGGGAAGACAATGCTAGGGCTCTCTGGAAAGGTCCATTTGCAATGACTTCACAAAGTGAACTTACCTGTGTGACCACCACCACAGCAGTGGTTCTCCACCTTCCTCAGGCCGCGACCCTGAATACAGTTCCTCATGTGGTGGCGACCCCCCAACCCTAACAGTATTTTTGTTGCTTCTTCATAACTGTAATTTTGCTACTGTGATGAATCATCATGTAAATATCTGATAGGCAGGTTGTATTTTCATTGTTACAAATTGAACATAATTAAAGCATAGTGATGAGTCACAAAAACAATATGTAATTCTATATTGTGAAATGTTTATTTCTAATGACAAATAAATGAAATTTTGTCTTGATGCATGATGTAGCGTGGGTAACAGTCTTCACACCAGGTACTTGTAATGTGGGTGTATCTGTTTGTGGGCGGACCCACCTGGTGATGGATAGAGGAGCGGTGTCTCGGTTCCTAAGACCATCGGAAATGTGAAAGGGTCGTTTGACCCCCAAAGGGGTCTCGACCCACAGGTTGAGAACTGCTGACCCAGATCAAGAAACAACATCACCAGCCCCCCCCCACCCAGAAGCTCCCCTCTAGCCCTTCCTTGGCATCGCTGCCCCAGTAGAAACACCCACCATCCCGAGTTTCGTTTTGCCTGGACTCCGAACTGTAAATAAATGGAACCATCGGTACATATTCTTTTGTGGCTGGCTTCTGGACTGGATACATCCTTGCTCATGTGACTAGCTGTCGCTCACCCATCGTCCTGCTGAAAATGGAATTCCACAAGGATACTAGAACCCCACGTATCTGTTCTGATTATGGTCCTTAGGCTGCTGTTGGGTCAATTGAAACTCACAGGGACCCATGTGAGTAAGTAGAACTGCCCCATGGCGCTTTTCAGGCTGTGATCACGACAGGGTGAGATCAGCAGGTCTTTCTCTCTCAGAGCTTGGATGGATTCGAACCATCGAGCTTTTGGTTGGCAGCCAAGCACTTACCAGTCGTGCTACTAGAGCTCCAGGCCTTAGCTATAAAAAAGTTCCCAACTGATGATGTATTTGAGACCCTGCACTCACTGTTTTCTAGTTTTTGGTTTCAGTGTGTTTTGTTCTCATCTTTTCTTCAGTAATAAGTTCTACCTGCCAGTTTCTCCGGATACCGAGTGCAAAGCACTCGAAACATAGTCTTGTCACTTTCGCTTTGAAGGAGCATGCTGGCTGTACTTCTAAGACAGAATTGCGTGTGCTCTGGCAGTCTGTGGTATTTTCGATATTCTTTGCCGACACCACAACTCAAATGCATCGGTTCTTCCGCACTCTTCCTTCTTCGTTGTCTGACATGCAGCAGAAGTGACTGAACATGCCATGGTGTGGGGCAGGTGCCCTCGTGTCCTCAAAGTGACATCCTGGCTCTTCAGTACTTACAAAGAGAGGTCTGGTGCAGCAGGTCTGCCCAATACAGATGGGTTGTCGGTTGATTTCTTTGACTTGGCGCTTCGGTGCGGATTGATGGTAGATTCACGCAAAATGAAGTCCCTGGCAATTTCAATCTTTTCTCTGTTTAGCACAGTTGTCTGTTGGGGCCCAATGGTGAGGATTTTTGTTTTCTTTACCTTGAGTTTCAATCCTTTCTAAAGGCTGCAGAATTCAATTTTCATTGAGTGCTTTAAGACCTTTGAGCTTTCCGCTAGGCAAGTTGTGTCATCTGCATGTCGCAGGTTGTTCAATCAACCTTCCTCCGATTGTGATGCTGGGTTCTTCTGCATAGACTCTAGTTTCTCTGATTATTTGCTCAGCAGAGACTGAATTAAGATGGTAAAAGGATACAACCCTGATGGACCTCATTCCTGATTCTAAATCACTCGGATATATGACCGTACAAGGTTAAAATATGTGTGATTTTAGACACAGCATTTCCAACTTTAAGAGCTAAAGAAGAGAGTTATAAAGACATTGATAATAAAAGGCAACAATAATGAAAAGGAGGGGCGGGAAAGAGGTATTTGACTTATGTCAGAACTGACAGACCAGAACCCCGTCGTCGGTCAGGGACTGCGGTTTCAGGTGTACAATAACACTCTCGTTCACGTCGCTTGGGCATGTGTGCACACTTTATTTTAGAACTTGACCTGGCGTGTGTGATGGCAGCGTTGTAAGACATCCATCTGCTCAGCTTGATACCAGTCAAAGGATTGCAGTAACTTCTAGAAGGAATTTTTAGATCTTAAAAGATCAACTAGCTCCTGACCCCAGTGGAAGAAATTGAGGTCATCTGGTTACAGAAAGAGGAGGCAGGATTAGGCTCTGTCCTTCGGGCAAAGGCCTTCTATGGCTTCTCTTTCATGTACTGGGGATCTGAGGATGTGTTCTTTTCTAAAAACATTCGAGTTGTTTTGATATTTGGAAATCCTACTCGAAGGTGGCTTCCAGCAGGAGAAACCTATTCTGGGAGCAGGAGATGGGCGTGGGAAGGGTTCAGCCTGACAGCGCCAAGGAGAAGGGTTGGGCCTTCAGGACTTTTCAAAGTTCTTCCAGCCTGGTTTTCCACGCGGGGCGTTCCATTCCATTCTATAAAAAACACAATAGCCAAGCAAAACAAACAACAGGCTGAAGCCTAAAGGATACAGAGAAATGACTTACCTTTGAAGAACATTTAGAGAAGATTTCAGCAAGTGTCTGAGGGCTTTCTCCTTCCCCCACCCCTCTCCTTAAATTTGTTTCTTCCTTTTTCTCTCCTTTGGCTGTTCCTTAGCTGCTCCTTGGGGTTTGGATTCAGAGCGGTTGTCATCTTGCCAAGGAGTGGGTGACGTGGGCAGCCCATGTGCCTGTCTCGAGGGTGGTGGCCTGGTCTCCCCCAGCACCAAGCCTAGTCGGGGCTGCGGTTTTGCTTGACGAGGCGGGCCGATACTTCATGGGCTCAGGGAGGAATACTTCTGCCTTGGCATGTAGCTGAGGCAACAGGCCTGATAAACAGCCCATTTCCAGGGACCTGCGGTGAACAAAGCTGCTAGCTGCACAGGCATCCGTCTACCCTCTTCTTCCTGAAACAGCTGTTTATTCTCTTGACAGGAATTGGAACGAAACACCTTCCCTTCCTCCTTGCCCTGCCTCCTTCTACGCAACGGAACTCAAGAGAACTTTGTTGTTTTGCCTTTTATACCGGGGAGAAAGCAGCAGACGATGAGGTAGGTGAAATGTGGGGATGATTTCCTTCTACTCTGCCAAGGTCCTTGGGGGGCGGGGGAGGGAGGGGATGGAGAGTAGACTGCAAGGTGGGTCTACCGGGAGGGAGGACCCTTGTTCTCCCCCTGGCCCCTGGCTGGTTCCTCAGGTAGTTCTGGAAAAGGACCGAGTTTCACTCCCCTGGAACTGGACCTGGAGGCAGGAGCTGGCTCAGGGACACCCCCCTGTCAGTTCCATTCCCCTTGGCAGGAATTCACAGAGCTGTGGTCGGTCAGGGCCAGTGGCTTGGAGGTTTTCGCTTTAGGATTCAAAGTGATAAGGCAGAGCCGGGGGCAAGCCTGGAGTTTTGTGGATGGAGGCAAAGATGGACCCTTTCAAAGTAGCTCCGTGCCCTTTGGCTCACTTGTCTCTCTCTGGAGTGGGGGCAGGGACAGGGGCGAGGGATGGGGGTGGGGGTGGGAGCAGACCCTTGCATAGGGACACAGTAACTGTGGGCCTGGTGGGCGAGAAGAGGGGTTGGGGAGAGGCTCGAACATTTCTGAAAGGGATTCATGAAAAGGCACTACAAGAACAGGTTGTTCCCCGTGGGGTGGCTGGATTGACAGCGGTGTGTTTCGTCTAAGGCTTGCCTCTTCTTTACCTCTGCCTGTGCTGACTCTGACCCCATCATGAAAACCGTAAGTGGAAACAGCCGCCGTGCATTTCCCACCACCAGGGATTCTGAGAGGGATCACTTCCTCTTGACAGCTGTACCTTTAGGGAGGATGGAGGAAATAAGAACTTCTCCTTCCTCACCCCCAGCCCCATCCCCAGGTCCAGAGCTGGCCCGGGACTCAGGTGACCTGCGTTCAAAATCTGGCACCTCCACTTCTAAGTGATCCAAGTGACCCCAGGCAAGTGACTTGACTTTGCTAAGGCTCAGTTTCCCCTGCTCCACAGGTAAGTAGACAGACAGTGACGCCGCACCCACCTGGGCCAGCTGAATGGCAAGGGGAGAGTGAGGAACCCCCGCCCTACCTGGCTCAGCGAGTTGGCTCAGCGCTCCCTGGTGGCTCTGCCTCCGAGGAGAAGCTAGCTCCCAGGGGAGTTTGGCCGGTGGGTGGTAGCTATGGGTCAGTTGCTGTGGTATCATCGTGTGAGGCAACATGAGCGGATATCCCAAGGAAAGGCCAGGGACCAGCCCCGGGAGATTACCTTCATGCTTATCCGTACAGCACAGTGGCTGTAAGTTGCACTGGGGGACAGAGTCCCTGACTCGGAATCCCACTGCCCTCACTTCGTGCCTCGCCTTCGGTGGGCTACTCAGCCTCCTTTTAACCTCTGCAGAGTGGAGAGGATTATAGAGGGGTCTTTGTAGGGGTGTTTTGAGGCTTAACGGAGGGGCTGTTGGGACTTTGATCCGCTCAGGGTTTGGGTTTGGCTTTGCTGAGAAAGATCCGGGTGTTGCCGGACCGAAAGCTTTGTCAAGTATCAAGACTTTCTTTAGTGTGCGAAGTTCTGGTGCTGGACTATATGCAGTGCGATACAAAGTCATTTCCATTTCTCCTTCTTTCTTCATCTGAATGCAGTGCTTGGGTGAATGCAATTCTTTCGATCTCAAAGGATTGACTCAGGGGTGAGATCCGTACCAGATCTAAAGGGCGACTGAGGGCGATGGTCTTGGAGGGTCCACCAGTCCGTCTGACCAGTCAGCCGGGCCTCTTTCACAGTTTTGAGTTCTGTCTTCCCTGTCCCCCCGCTCTGTCCAGGACCTTGTTGTTCAGAACAGTTGGCAGCGGTCATCCGGACCTCAGGGTTGTGGAGAGAGACCGATGTCTGTGTGGCCCATTAGTCCCTGGGACTAAGTGTTCCCATATAGCTTTCCATTTTCATCCCTCCTCTTTCCTTAGGGTACAGAGAGACCAATAATCGCCCCTCAGGGGACCGCTCAAAAGCTTTTAAGACTACAGTTGCTATTTGCCCAAGTTGGCTATCAAACGCTATCTTTGTGAACTCTGTTATATCACTTGACCTTGGTGTGCCCTGAGACCAAGCTTCTGATCTCTGCGGGCCCAGCAATTCATTCCCTCCAGGTGTCTGGTGATGTGGAAGAGATTTTCACAACTTTGCCCCCTGGATGCTCTACCACATTCGTGGATGCAGTTAAGCAAATATCTCTGTTGAACCTATGTATCTGTGGGGATACACTCACTCCCTTCCGCATCCGTTCAGCCTACATGTCTATCCTTCGCTTGTGGATCCTCACTAGCTCAGGATTGTGTCTCTGCTGCCTTGAATTCTTTTCTTTTCTTTTTTAAAAGATCATTTTATTGGGGCTCTTCCAGCTCTTATAACAATCCATACATCAATTGTATAATATATATATAATTTTTTTCTTGCTGCCTTTAATTCTTGCAAACCTCTCAGTATCTTCGCCTGCCTTCTTCACTGTTTGGCCAAGCTCTCCCTTATCACCCGTTGCTTTACCCTGCGCCCAAGTTAGCACACTCCCTCCCTTTTGTTAGGGTTACAACGCAGTGGCATTCATTACAGTCCCCGTGTTGTGCCACCATCTCCACCTTCTCTTCCCAAAGGCTTTTCATGCCCCCAAACAGAAAGCTAGCACCTTCCGGCAGGGCCTCTCCATTCCTCTTGCCCTCCCTCCAGTCCCTGGCAACCACCACAGCAACTTCGGTTTCTATGCATGTGCCAGTTTCAGATACTTTCAATAGGCGGAGTCATCCAATATGTGTTCTTTTGTGTCAGGGATGTCTTCAAAGAAAAAATTGCAAATACGTTATCCAGCATGAAGGTAGAAACGGCATCACACCAACAGAATAAAAACTGATGATACCCCACAATTGGCCGATTTTATGCGACAACCTCCTAATACAAAAATGTAGAGATCCTCCCTGTGGCCCTTCTGCAAGGGGATGTCCAATTCCCCATAGATGGGCCCTCATTCACAATGCTATGGGGTTTTTTTGTTTTTTTGTTTTTGGTCTTTGATGCCTG